ATAATAATAATAATAATAATAATAATAATAATAATAATAATAATAATAATAATAATAATAATAATAATGGTGGTGGTTATGATGATATTGATGATGATGATGTTGATGGTGGTGATGATGATGATGATGATAATGGTGATGGCGGTGATGATCATGGTCGATAATTATTATTGTTATGTTGATGATTGTAGGATAAGAATCGACTTTAAAAAAACAAACGACACCGATGGAATCAGTTTAGGCTGTTATGTGACACAAAGTTATTAATGGTCAAGCCGGCGCTAATTACTTGTAATCTAAATTTATCACACTTTTAAAGTGAGGGACATTCATTTTTGTGAAGTATGCACGTGCTGTTTCCCGGCAGAGGAGCCATTTTTTCCAACCATTGTGTTGTGTCCGCCCCTTGAGGGGACCGGATGATGGCTGTACTGGTTACCAGTATGGGTGCAGATCATGGGGAGACGGGGGACACGCCCCCACATATTTTTAATAGGGTTTTGGTGCCACTCACTTTTCGACCACAATGTAATTTCATAAGTAAATAAGGTGCCTGAAGTAGGTAAATTAAAGTAAATACATCAAAGACAATTAAGTTTTATTTTCTATGGTACAATATAGAAGTTAATTAGATCTCTATTATTGCCGAAAATTGCAGATAAACGATCATGGTGATGTGATGATGATGAATTTTACTATAGGTCTATAAGAGTTTCATTCCGGCCATCTTGAGATATTATTCCTCAACCATGATGGGACTTAGGTAGGTGTGGACTCACGGCTTTGAAGAAAGTAAAAGTAAAGTAAAATACATCAAAGACAAAGTTATATTTTCTATGGTACATCACGTATATTAATTAGATCTCTATGATTGCGGGAAATCGATGATAAAATATCATGAGAAATTTGTTGGTGCTTCATTTTTACTATAATGGTGATGTAAAAGTGTCATTTCCGGCCATCTAGAGGTACTATTTATTTCCCACAATTTTCGCACCTCAGCCCCCAACCATGATGGGGATGAGGTGGGTATGACTCTCCCCCATCCCGCTCTTATAATGGCCAGACCACTTGCAAAATGCTTCCGACGACTATGAAAGAGGACAGATTTTATGAATTAATGGTTTTAAATACGTATTTTTTCATTTTAAATTTACAAGAGAGACCAGACAAATACCTACTTGTCTTTTGGTGGTATAATTATCCTTTCAAGTTACTTACTTTACGAATTATAACATTTTGAAATTAGGAAAAATGAAATCAGGACATGCATATTTGGGGGTGGGGGTGGTGGTTTGAGACGGTTTTGTTGAAATCAACCCATATGTATTTTCAAAATTTGTTGAGACTACATTCAATCAGAAACATTATCTTAAAGATTATCTTACCGCAATAAAAAAAAAAGGATTTTCTTTAATACTTTCTGTTGTATACTTTACAGTGGCGGACCATGGTATGGCCACTTTACTGATGACCCATTCATATCACTACTGTCTGTCTGGAGCTGTATGTCAGGTTGTCTGTCTGCTAGCAAGATTTCGCAAAAACTCATGAATATAGCATCATAAAAAATAGTGTAAGGATACATAATAATCGAAGAAAAGGCTCCTTTCTATTTTCGAAAGTAAAGGTAACGGAAATTCGAATTTATATCCTCCAGCATAAAAGATAATAATGGAATCGCCCCTCGTATTCAGGCAGCACTCAAGAAAACATTGTGGCGATTTCATTATTTTCTTGAGGGTATGCAGTGTCGCCCATCATACACGGCCTGCTAATATGTCGATACTGTATTCAGGCACAGGGCGGAGGTATGCATTCCATGGAGTGACATGCTAGTTGACTCTGTTTCATCCTAGCGGGGGAAAAAAACAAACAAAGCACGTCTAGTGCGACGCTCGGCAAATGTATTTTACTTCTTTTGTAAATTTTGATAAATTTGAACATCATATTTAGTAGACAAGACACAAATTTCCAGTTAACTGTAACATTATGTGGAAGTTCACCAATATTTACCGTATTTAATTTTTATACAGGCAAGCACGACCATCTTCATAAAATGTCCAACCCCCCCCCCCCACATCTAGATGTGTATAAGCCCTCCACCCTCCTCCATACCACACCTATTAAACTGATGTTCCGCACCCATAGTAAGTACAACATGCCAGATGGCTCTTCCTGGATTCACCATTCGTCTCATAACAACCGACTATTTTGTCTATCCCCATCTTTTCCCACACCTGGATCGATACTTCTAAGTAGTTGATGGTAAATGCAGTTTGTCTTCCTTTTTCTTATTGTGGTGATTGTATAAAAAATAAGCACTTTACAAGTATGAGTATTTTGTCTCCAGGCGACATACAAAATCCAATTTATTTTTGGGCTGTTCGATAGTCTGTTACTTAGTCTTGGTGTATGGTGTATGGCACACGATGAGTCAACCGTACACCTGCTAATTTTCGATGGTGCCAGTCTGAACGGACCATGTTACCCATGCCCTTTTGTATTTCGTCATAGAATCGTGTAATAAGCCAACCTGCAGTTGTGGAGATTCAAAACATTTTCAAGAGATGTGCTCCACGACAAAGCCCCACGGCTCACGTATAAGTTGGTTAGATCACCAATTTAATAGATTTTAATGGATTGCCAACTCTGGATAAAACATGGAAGAATAAAACCAAACAATTTGTACCAGTATTAAGTATCAGTATATTGTTCACCTGCATTGCAGATTGTTCTAAGACTGTAATTTAACATGGTGTTTTTGTTCGAATTTTGTAGTTTCTAGATCAAGTTGAGCACAGTGAAAAAAAAACTATCACCATTCTCGAAACCTAAATTGTTGCTTTACTAAAAAATAATTCATGACCATAAACATCCGCCTCAGTTCATTTCAAAGTTAAATCCTATATTAATCATGCATCTCATATATTGGCTTTCTTGTGCTGTTTATTGTCTCTTTGCCCTATCTCACCTAGCCAATTGTTTCTAACCATGCTTGCATGACTCACTTCATACTATGTTTTACTGATTTCGTCCTGTCTCTTATACACATCTTTTGTCTGTTTAACATTTGTCAGTATTTACATGTTATCTAGTGCAATTTATATTTGTCTTCCGAGGTGTTCATATTTTCTTTTGCAACAAGGAAAAAAAATTTATGACAGCATTAATAATAATAATAATAATAATAATACACATTTTTAAAGCGTCTATTAAAGCAAACAAAACTGGCTTGTCACTGGCGCTGGAGGATGTTAGAAAGAAGTTGAACTATTTGAAGAGGAAGGATTATTTTGTGTTAATGACAATAAAATTATCTAAGGCTATGTTCACACACACGGCGTAAGACTGGCGTAGCTTACGCCAGGCGTAAGCTAATTCACAGATTAAAATTCCAAAGTGTTCACACAAACGGCGTTCGCTATATTAACGCTGGCGTTAAACTAGTAGTAATATAGGCCTATGGGGGAATAATAAATAAATAAATAATGTACAGGTTCTTAACTGTAGTAAAATTAACAGTGCATCAGTAAAACTTTTAAATCTGTGAATTGTTCGAAGTGAACTTATATGATGATTGTATTTTAAATGAACAATTTGCTTTGATTTTTCAGCTAGCATTGTTGGTGTTGCAGGTTTTAATAGACAGTCTAAATAGGTTAAAATATCTTACAAAACACAATCAACAAATCATATACATTATAACTAAGTAAAATGCAATAGAAAAAGAACCCCTTTACCATTTCATTTATAGAGAGCACAAGAAAGAGACCAAAGTAGCTAATACTGTATATTGCAATCGTGATTGGTCAATCTCTTGAAATGAGGTCAAATCATTCAAGCATCACTGCCGTTAGCTCAGTGGCGTTAGCTGATCTGGGGTCTGCAGGTAGCGTTAATAATGCCAAGGACGTGGCATAGTGAGTAGCTTTAACAACGCCACTGCCTAATTCACACACAAAGGCGTACGCTACGCCAGGCTTAAGCCAGACTTACGCCGTGTGTGTGAACATAGCCTAAATCCGTGTATGCCTAGAGTTACGTTTACACATACTGTAATTTTTATAGGTAATAAATAGCATGTGAGCAACTCCCTATTACAAACATGACCTTCGATAGGAGATACAGAAGGAGAAAGGCCATAAGTTCAGTATTAAAGTTGTATTTTCTGTTATCTAAATATATTTAAAATAAAATTATTACATAATAAAAGTAATAATAATAATAATTATAATAATAGTACATTCCTTTTCATATATCGCATATTGCAAGGACTGCCTCTATGCGCTTAACAACTGAAAAGGATTTAAAAACAAAAGTATAAAAAATAAAAATAATAGTATAGTGTGGTGGCAAGAAGTTCAGTCTCTTGAGGTCAACCATCTGCCTCTGTTCTTTTGCTTAGTGTTTTGTTTAGTTGGCAAAATTCTTTGCATTCAATTCAAGAATTGTAAATTATTTTTCTTGTCAATTAACACATAATACAGTGCCTACAATTTTCAACATATTGAATTGCCTGGTTATCTATTTAAACATTTTGATAGAAAAGTATGTAAATCTGATAAAACGTACAATATTTGGTTTGATGTATGTTTCACTTGTAGTCAATAATTTTAGTTAAAACAATTTTAAATGAGATGTTCAATGTTTGGATTAGAATTTTTTTAGGTTTTTAAAATTTGATAAGAAACACAGTCAGTATACATGCAAGTGGAAACTTAGAACGCAAGTCAAAACAGATAATAATCACCATGAAAAGATATTATAATTTCACGTCAAAATTTATTCCAGTCGGTAAATCACTCTACAAGCATGATATCACTTGTGACCGTTTAATACTGTTATACTGATTGAAAATTGCTTAACTTCACTTAAATTTTTAAAATTTTGCCTTTCTGTTTCAATTCTAAAAAGCAGTGTGCTTAAAAACTAAGACAAATTGTGATTTAATTACCCATGTCCTATCCAAATAGCTTGTGACCCATAAAGACTTAAATGGCAATTTTCATGATTTAAGTTTATTTTAAGAAATATATTAATAATAAATAGAATGTAAGGATAAGAATTCATATGCCGACCATTGATCATAAGATTGAAAGATATGAAACAATTAATATCAACACAGTAGACTTTAAGTACCCGCACTATTAGACCACCTATCTGTGACCTAGAGGTATTGTAGTAATATTCCTGGATGTTAAAATGTCCAGAGAACATTGCAGCTAAAATTGGATAGATTATGTCTCATTGCTCTCATTATTTCACTTAGTAAAATACAGAGGACTTTAGTAGTAATAGTACTTTAGCACACTGTGCACTTTCTTGCACCTTAATAAAAGCATTGTTAGCCCGAAAGCTTTTATACCAATTTAACTAGTATTAGAAGTACAAAAATCTTCCATGTTTTACTGATTTCGTCAGACTAGTGTGTATAAACTCATGTTACTTCAATTTTTGGTTAAGGTTGTCTGATATAGCAGCCAAGAAGTCCATAGTTTGCAAGTAATCTTCAGGTTTGACACTGTAACAAAAAGAAAATACAATCATTACATATGATATCAAACTATAAATTTAAAAAAAGAGTAAAATCATAATCTATTAATATTAAAGTGGTTGTAAGAGTCACCTGCTATGCAATTTCTAACTTGGTTTTCCAACTAGAACATGTTATACTTATCAAACAATACTTTAACAACAATAATAGGAAAATCCAAGAGAATCTACTAACTTGTCCTAATAACTCAGTTGATATAGCAATTTAACAATAATTGGAGGGTAGGCCTACTGGGTTTGATAGGGAGAACAAATTTCTCTCATACCACCAAATAACATCTTATAATATAAGCAATTAGTAGAGCTCCGCATAGTACACTATCAGAAAATTATTATACAAAGGTAAGATTTAATGCTTGAAAAAATTTTTGAATGCATTAAATCTAACCTAAGTATAATTATTATAACTAGTGTCAGTTTGTTTAGTTTATTAGGGTTCGCTGATTCAAAGAATTCCTTAACTGTTCATGCTTAATATTGAATTTGAAGTAACTTTATTCGGGTTCTAATTAACCTTGTTTTAAGCTGTCCAGATTGCAGTGGCATGAACACTGGTGTTACAAATGGATTAAGATATGTATATGCCGCTATGCAGAGCCCAATCTAATTTTTCTATACAAGGTCTACTTACTTCTTGATTCCATGGATGCAACCGGCTAAATCTTTGGTCATCTTGCCTGAGTCAATCGTATCTACACAGACCTGCTCCAGGGTTTGGCAGAAGCGCTTAAGGTCTTCATTACCATCTAGTTTAGCACGATGTTCTAATCCCCTCGTCCAGGCAAATATACTGGCAACTGGGTTTGTACTGGTTTGGTTACCCTATAAAGAGGAAAAAAGATTAATGGTAAGGCATTACTTCAATAAAAATTTTAATTCAAAATATTATAAATAATTGCTATTACAGGTTTTCATTGTCAACAATAAACAATTAGTGGAGTTATGTCCCAAACCTATGATGATTTTGTTCACTTACAGTGGGCAATGCCGAATAATTACAGAGTGATGTCACTACCCCAGGATGTGTTGCTCTTGTGTGATTAAGGTTCCTGGTTTACTTTTTTGTTGTTTTTCTTTTGGTATGTGTTTTGTATCTTATTTTCAAGAACCCAAACGGAAATACATCTATACAAATTGTGTTGGTTGTTCACATGTTTTATACCAATCAATCAATCATAGAATAATAACGAGCGGATTCCTTGGATTGAACCCAGAAATATGTCATTAAAAATTGACCCCCATATATAAGAAGTTAAAGCATCTTACCAAACTGTAGCAAGTACAGTGAAATATATGTACAGCACTATCAATCAAGCAAGATGGATTAAATTCATACCTTTTGATGTTCTCTGTAATGCCTTGTGACAGTTCCATGCGCTGCCTCTGATTCAATGGTCTTGCCATCGGGGCAAACCAATACACTTGTCATAAGTCCAAGAGAACCATAACCTGGAATAATTCCAAACAGTATGTTCTCAAATTGTTTTGTAAGTTGCATGAATCAATCATTTAACCTAATGAATAATTAATCACTCAAAACCAAAAAGCAAGTTTACAGCTTCTTTGTAAATATCACAAGTCAATATACTGTATTAGGAAAATTTAACATTAAGAGCTTGTGTACTGTTCTTTAAATGCCTTGTTCTTTTTGTCTTATGAAAATTATTTTTCAAAAACAGTATCCCATCTTCAATTTGTTTCTACTGTATTTGTATTTTTAAGCAACCATACTTTAGGCACTGTTGTAAAATTAAAATATTGTGATTTTATTAAACATCTTACAGCATAATAAAATACATTCATTTTACTATAGAGTGTAGAATGATTGACAACTAATCGGTAGAAACTATGTTTTACATTCACCACAAGCAATGTGACTATTCTAGTTTACAAACACAGCAAGGCCTTCAAAACTTGATTTTTGTACCCAGGTCTAGTAAGTATGTATAGGTTGTAACACAATACCAGCAAATAAGCCAATTAATTCATTAATATAAACAAGACCTACTTTCTCTGGTAATTTATGGTTTGAAAGGATTAGAAAGTCCTCTTCATGAAAACGGCATCTGCTCATTTGTTTACAATGTTACATTCCAGGAATTTTACCATGTGTTTTATAATTAGGTGTAGTATGTTGTACCATGAGTATGAGTTGTGTATTATGTGATTTTTGCCATTTCACAATGTCAAATATATTCTGAAAAACAAACGTGGCTCAACTTTTTATAACAAACACCACAGTATATCGGGTGGGTACAGCCCATCAAATTTCAAGAACAAAATTTATGTCTATAAGATTGCTCAACACATTTCTTGACTGACACGATGAATCTAGGGATGCCATAAACTCTTGTAGTTGAGAACAAATTTCTCTATTCTTTAATTGTTATATATAATGACTGGTATTATTCATTATTTCATTCAGTCAGCATGCATTTAGGTTAACTGTTAAATGCTGTTAGAACTCAGCACGTGGTTGTGTTGCATACCTTGAGCAACAATGTCCGACTGAACGTCACCATCGTAGTTCTTGCACGCCCATACAAATCCTCCGGTAGACTTAATGGCCTGGGCAACCATATCGTCGATTAATCGATGTTCGTACCATATTTTTGCCTCATCGAACTGTTTGGCATATTGGCTGACGAATATAAATAGCATATGTTAATTTTGTATGCTAAAAACATCTTGTCACAAGTTTATATTATTCATTTTCCCAAAATGTCCTAAGAAGTACAGTATATTTCTTATGTCCCAATGAGCATGAAACATGCTTAGTGATTAAAAAAAAATTGTCAGGATATTTATCTTGCATAAAAATTTAATTTGGATGGCAATTTAGGTAACATAAATCAGTAGTGCATTGAACAGGTAGCTGATCTCTCTCACTCTCTCTCTCTTCTCTTTTAGATGGTAGTTGTGGTAGTATTGAGTGATATCAAGACTTGGAATCAAGTTGAGAGAGACAATCATATACTGTAACTAAAGCTATTCACAATATTTTTGAGGCATGTCAGTTATAAACCATTCTAACTTATGCATGTACATAAAACATATTACTGTAAATGATGAATGAACATCATGATGGTGGTGACAATTGTGAAGACAACAAGGAAGACAACGAAGGTGAGTAGATATATAAGTTAGTTGATATGTAAATTTATGCTACTTTATAAGTAGGTAGTATACTAGAATAGAGTTGTAAGGTATGCAAGCAAAATGATTGTCATTAAAAATGTACAGTACTAAACATAAAATATCTTTTAGGGTAGCTGTAACAATAAATCTGATTTTATTGGTACCAGAGACAAATAACAATTTCTCTATTACCTATCATATATTTCTTGGAAAACATCTTTGAAACGGCCATCATATCTCTTCAAGATCGTGTTCTTTGTGCTCATGTAAAGCGGCCATTTTTTCATGAGTGCATACTGGAAGCAAGAGTGAGCGAATCCAGCAATTGACTCGTCTGTATTGTACATGCCCATTCCACAACCTCCTGTGCCTGTGAAGTTGAACACCTCCCAAGACTGCGCTGGGCTGCCATCGGCTGGTGTAAATGACATTTCAAATTTACCAGGTCCAGAAGCAACAAAATCAGTAGCTTTGTACTAAAGAGTAAAGTGAAAGAAACATATTATAAAGCTGAACGGTGGGGATACTACTTGACATTTGGTTAAATTTCATCACTGTTCTCCTTACCGTAAGCCACTGATCCTGTGTGCAATATGGCCTATGAGCGTTTTAAAGAACACTGTAGAGTCTTCAAAAAAGATTGGGAATTGCCTCGCTATGTACTTCCCAATGTACAATTAAAAAGACATATGAAAAAAATTGTTTGGACTGGTATGTGGTATATTTCACACCAAAGGAATATCCCAAAAATAGCATTTTTGAATACATATACAGTATAATACACAACAACTAATGAAGCACAATCAACGAAAATACAAGATGCTTAAAGTCAGGCTCAGGAGGAAAAAAAAACTTATATGTTTTACAACTGATTTAAAAATCTGTGGAAAAAAGGGTTTCCACCAGTTTTAAAAATATTCAAAATCTGTATCTCATTAACTGTTCCTGAGTTTTTGTCAAATATGCTTCTTGTATCTTAGAAAAATCAGTTGTATAACTCATCAATAATAATTTTCCTCCTGAGCCTGACTATTTTATACAAATAGAAAATACTGCTCTCAGATAAAATTCTCACCTGATCACCAAACGCATGACGACCAATGACAATTGCTTTCTCCCATCCAGGAACAAGACGTGGGATTTTCTTGCAAATGATTGGTTCTCTGAAGACGGTACCGCCAAGGATGTTACGGAGTGTGCCGTTGGGACTCAACCACATCTTCTTCAAATTGAACTCTAAAGTAAACACAATAATAAACTTTTTAAACAATTTCAAACTGGATTTTCATTTGCACACAACCTGCCCCTACCATACTGTTTAAACATTTATCAAAGTTACAAAAATATAATTGCTAAATCTATAAGTCCGGTGGCGGAATTTTTTTTAAATGTTGATATGTTCTGCAACTGATTATTCTAAGACACAATAGGGGTGTTAAATGACAAAAAACTTGTAAACGGTAATGAGATACAGATTTCTGAATATTAAAAACAAACCCTAAGGGTGGTTATCCCCTTTCTCCCCCCCCCCCCAACCCAGTTATTAAATTTTCAAAAATCTGTATCTCGTTAACCATTCTGGAGTTTGTGGTCAAACACATTTTTGTGTCTTAAAAAAACAATAGTACAAGATGAAAAAAAATTTCTTCCGGAGCCTGGCTTTAATATGAAGAGATCAAAGCATTTACATATTATAACAATCTGTGAAACAGTTATTTTACAAAGATTACAGTTTACACTTCTATAATTTCCATTAAACTTAAAAGCTACCTTCGACACGCTCTTCGTCTGGGGTGATTGTGGCGCACTTAATACCAACATTGTGTTCTTTAATGGCGAGTGCAGCATCGATGGTCACCTGGTCATCAGTCTGGTCTCTGTATGGTAAGCCAAGATCATAGTACAGGCAATCTAATTTCAAGTAGGGGAAAATTAACTGAAAGAACAGAAATATACCAAATAAATTTAATGAAATTTTCATAAGCCATGCGGACAGAAATAATAATTCTATGAGTTTTGTTAAGTGCCATTTATAATTTTAAATAACCATAGTTAAGTAATATTTCTAAAAATTGGAAAAAGAACAGTAATATATTTGTAGTTGCTGGACTGATATTTTATTATATTATAAATAGCATGACTATGACAAATATATTATAAATATATATTTATTATATAAAAATATATATAGTACTCATAAACTCCCTATCTTGCATTATGCACATTGACATTTCAATTCAAGAGTTGATGTGGCATATTTTTGACATGAGTACAGTACTCATTATAAAAGAAGCAGATGCTGTTGGATTGCCAACCAACACATACCATATGGTAACAAGAATGAATCATTAACAACTATTACAATTCATAATCAGTATACATCTTGAACAATAAATAGGGAAGTGATGACATAATTAATGTCGAAATATTGAATCCCAACACGATGGCGTGTATTTCAATACTTGGAGTATGTATTATACTTTCTTAAATAGGGAAGTATTCATAATGTCAATAGAATAGACACAAAAATATAAATGAATATCCAATGCTCAGGAACTGGAATGAAAAATCAACATTTGAAACAGTGTAAAGAAGAGCATGACTAAATTTATTTTGCTGTTCTATTTTTATGGTTTAGGTTTTTTTTAACCGTTTATTTCAAATTTTCAATTTCTGATTTTAATAATAGACACGGACTTGTTAGTGCCAAATATTTCTGAGTGAAAATTGGTTAACACATTATTTATTTATTTATTACCATTAATAATAAAACATATATTTGATACTTTTATCCATGTGTACACAAAAAAAATCCTGTACAGCACAGATTATTATAAAAACTATTAGAATGATATTTCCCCATAATATTTTAAACATTAATCATTAAATACAGTATACTTATTTTAAAATATAAAAAGGCAGAGTTTCCCTTGCACTACATGTTGAAAGACAGTCATACTGCAGCAATGACTAAATGTTAATCATTTATTCCTTACGGTTTCCTTGATCTTTTCCCAGATGACTCTTGTCATTTCATCTCCATCGAGTTCAACGACTGGCTTTGCTACTTCAATACGCTTTCCAGATGAGTCTAGTGATCAACAAAAAGTGGTTCATATTTAGTAATGTTTTTGGAGGGGTTATTCTTCCACATTCAAAAAAGCAGACTCATACTCTGTCTAAAACAGTGTGGCTACAATTTAAGAGAGACTTCCTCAAAAAATTGTTTATGAGGCTTGGGGTGTAAAGATGTTTCCAATAGGGTGCAGAGCACTGTAGAATTTGAACCATGGGATTGTAATGCAACAATCTTTAATAACCACAAAATAGCTACCACTCCAGTGCAATATGTTCATGTACATAAAGTGATGTAAAATAAGTACTGTAAAATGAAAGGAAAATTAATTACAAAATGGCCTTGGAAATGAACCAAAGGGAATGATATCACAGATCAATTGTCCAAATAAGTAGATCAAGTCATGCTTTCGTGTCCCCATGGAATTGGTTGATGTGAATAGTTTATCACTTATAGGTCAAGAATATTTGGATATTGTATTGACCCTGATCAACATACTGCTAAAGTGAAATTATGATGTTTCAAAACAATCTGATTTTCAGATCCATGACAAAGACTTCCTACAAATACAAAGGTTCCTAAAAATTGTACATTTATTATTCCCTTAATAATAATTAAAAAAAACTACAGCAATAATAATACTATACTACTAATTTACCCACAAAACTACCAAATCCATTAGTAAAATTTACTAATATTATAGATTGATTGAAATGCAATGTGTTGGCTGGTTTAAAGAAGATGAGGAGTGGTGGAATGCCGGTGATAAACTGAGTATACACACAAAACTTCAGCCGCTGCATGTATGTGTTTTAGTGTATATTACTGTATGACTGCGAGACTTGGAAGATTATGAGAGTCGATTGAAACCTAAAGATGAAATGCTTTTGAAGTATACTTGGCTCGAAGTTGTTCAATTACATGACAAACGAAGACATGTGCACTTGAAAGATGTGACTACCATCAAAAGAAGGAAGGCACGGCTGTTTGGCCACGTGTGCAAAATGAATGATGACCGACTGCTAAAGATGACCATGTACAAAGATGGTAGATAACAATGCCAATGGGAGGATCGTGAATGGCAGCAAATTAAGCACCAACAGGATTTCCGAGCCCATGGACTATTTGATTGATTGATTGATTTTTTAAAAGTATAGTACAATACATGTATTTTAGCAAATCTGTGGCCTGCATGTATTACATCTTACTATATATTTCTATCACAATTAAAATATTATCTTTGTAATTGTAGGTCTAATTTAAATTATCTACATGCTGATAGTCTCTGGATGTTTCAGGCATGTCTCCATAGTGTAAATTTGTATGTCATACACATGTGCCTATTTGTAAATCATTGACTATACAATATGTCAGAGATATTTGCCTGATGTCTATATTACTTTTGGTGGTGGTTATTAATCATAAAAAAAATGTACAAATGTTGCACTGTCAGCATTTTTAGACTACACAAGATCAGTATTCAAGTTGAAAATATTTTTATTTCACTAATTTTAAAATACGACTTGGTAAATTTCATTGATATTTATTATCATCATTCATATTATTAGCATTGTAGTTACCAGAGTTCTCCTGGTATAAGTCCCCACCCCCAAACTTTAGATAGCAGCTTAGCTCAGTCAGCTAAACTGGTGGTAGCCACTGTGTGTGCGCTGAACCGTGAAAGATCTCTAGGTCTCCAGTTCAATTCATCGCTGTTCTCCTTGTGTTTCAGCTGGAGGGCTGCAATGCAAGTTAGCGCACTGTCTTTCGGATGAGACGTTTAAGCCGTTGGTCCTGTGTGCATTATGGCCCATGTGCATGTTAAAGAACGCAGTACACTCTTCAGAAAAGAGTAGGGGATTGTCTCCTGGTGTACTGTCCAATCACCACCAGAAGTACCCCACTAGAAATGTCTTTTCAGACTTTTGTGGGTTTTACTTGGTGTTTACACCGAATAAATCCATCCATCCATCCGACACAAAATTGGGCCAATTTTGGGGGTGTGCTTTTTTATGTTAGGGGAATCCCCTTTTCCATCAAAAGGTAACTTTTCAGTAACTGTATGCCTAATTGAAAGCACTACTTGATTTTTCTGGTTTTTTTTTTGTTTTTTTTTTATAGTATTTGGAATATTGTCAGCTAAGCTACTCATTCAAATCCTACCCTATGTGTTTGCCCGAAGAAAGACTGGTACTGTACGTAAAATTGGGTGTAAAGTAGAGGGGGGCTTATCAAACTTTAGATAATACTGTACCTCAACAAAATAGTCCAAAGGGTACAGAGTTCATAAATGGTGTTTCGTATCTATCTTCAGAACAAATAATTGCATAGAAGTATAAAGTTATTCACTTATTTATTGATTGACATTCTGTGTTTTCTATCCAGGTACACAGTATAGACTTTGGTGTCTGGAGGTTATACAATAATTACATGTATAGCTACGCAATGAGGAATGCTTTCTTTCATAGTATTCTTGCAACCTAATCTGCTTTTCCATGACACGTGTTTGTAATCATATTTTACTGTTATAAAAAAACTAGATTGCGTTTTTATTAGTTGGTATTCAATTGCAACAATGAATAGTAAATAAAATACACTATTATTCTACATCAAAGAAATAATTAATTCTTTCGTTAGGAGTAAATAATAGGCCTACTATAGCTCAAAAATTTACCTATGTTTGGTGAAGCTATAATAATTAAATTGTACTATTATCTACTACTATATTACTATAATTAATAATAATAATATTACTAATATCATTATTATTATTATTATTATAGTTTTGCTACTTAATTGGCTGGTCTAAGTGGTAGGTTTTCTACTAATATTTATAACAATTAACATATGCCCTACAGCAGCATGTACAGTAAGCCTGTGTTTACAAAATGCAAACATTTAAATAAATTGGTCTTTGAAAAAAGAACATTGTGGGTTATGGGTGGGATAGGGGGAGAAGTATAGTGAGTAGTAGAAGCTCCTTCATATAGTAATTGGTGATATTTACAGTAATTTTTCTACAAGGACTTGCATATGCAAAGAACTGGAGAGCTTAAATTCATTTTTTTGTAGGATGTGATGGAAATGACACATATTCAGACATAATTACTCATTTCTGGTTTGAAATTTTCAGTTTAGGTGAAAAAAGAAGGCCTGAAAACTAATCTGCATCTTATTTACATTACATTTAATCAAAAGAAGATAACACTTTGTAATTTAAATTCCAATTACATTTACTGTAGTGTGTCCAATATTTTTAATTAAATGTTATAAGTAATTGTTAGTATTATAGTACAGTATAGAACTGAAATAATTTATTATATCTTAATATAATCTTCATTTAAAATAAGTTGATTACAAAAAATCTATGAACAAATGATTTGTTATGGATTTGGAAGGTGTTTCATATTTCTGTGGCATACTCTATGGCAGACAAGAAGTATGAAAAGATAAGATGAGAATTTCAATTTTCAAGCATAATTCTTCCATCAAAGTTAAAGCCTATGGTTGGTTTAAGCAGCCTATTCTAATTAAATTAGTTTTTAATTTTAATGTTTAAGTATTTGAAATATAATTATTGATATTACTCTTGACTTGTTTGTAAATCATATTCATTGTATAAGTAACTCAAATTTTAATCGAGCGAAAAATGAAAATAAAAGGTGATACCATGCATATTCTAGACTAGCTAGAGCCCTAGTTCTTTCAATTAATTTTGACTTTGAATTATAAAGTAGTTACACACTCTAATGCCTATTGTAAGCATCATCTCTCTAGTATAGGGAATTTCCCTTTTAGTACACAAGGCTAGGATAATGCGGTGAAAACAAATTACTATAGGCCTAGTTCTATTATTCAACTTGGTTAACGTAGAACCATGGAAGGTAGAACTAGGCCTATTATTAGGCCATGTGAACTAACTATCCTCATAATTAATGCAAAAATGCATGCTTGGCTAAAAAACAAAGGTTTCCTCTTCTTTCTATCTACAGTTCGTATCGATACTCCTGCTTACAAACCGGCATTTAGCCGGCATGCGTTTAATAAGTGTGCTTTGGAATGTTATCCTGGAATAATAAATACAGACGCTCATCTTACTCACAATCTCTTTTATGTGATGCATTCAATACACCTACAGAACATCTTGCATTCTGAATCTTGGGAAGACCTTTAACAACCCTGCAAATGTTGGATAATTTACTCGCCATTTCTGTTGGAATACACACTGCAGATTGCCACAACCGAAAGACAGCAGGTCGATCGCAGAAGTACAATGTCAAATTAACGGCGTTGATTGGCCGAATGATGTCACTGCCGCCAACTTAATGACGTCAAGAGAAATGTTTTTTGTAAACAATGAACTTTAGGTTGGCAAGGGTGGTGGAAAATAATAAATTCACATACACATTTTCTTTAATATATAAATAAATGAACACATTTTATAAGAACACTTAAAATGAAATTGCTTAAAAATTAAGAACAAAATAAGAACAAATTGAGGCTGTGGTAAAATGTCAAATGAGGTTTTTATTAAAACAAAATACCGTATAAAACCAACAATTAAATCTCATATTTGCAGTAAGTGTATATAACACCCTCTAAAATAGACTGCTGTACAATAATAATTCAGGCGCGGATCCAGCGGGGGGCCATGAGGGCCCGTGCCCCCCCCCCCGTCGGTCAAGCCGAAAAATTAAAAAGAGGGAGAAAAATTTGAGTTATAGAGAGGAAAGCGGGGAAAGGGGAGTGAACTCATGAGTTCAGTGGCGATCCGGGAGAAGGAGAACTCGATTGTTTACCACTTATTTATACCAACCATATCTACATTGAAAAGGGAAAAAAAAAAGCCATAAATAGAAGTAAATACTACAATATTGTATTACGAATTGTAAATTATAACAAAATTTAGGAAAGTACATACAGGTGACACTTTTGAAAGGCCTAAGTCAAAGATGATTTGGATATTGTACAAAGATATAAAAAAAAAAAAAAGATGTGGAAAAAAAATGTATAATGGATTTTAATTTTAAAATAAAATTTTAAAAAATACAATATATATATATATATATATATATATATATATATATATATATATATATATATATACTAAAAAAAAAAAGATG